TGTTGCCAGTGTTGTACCTGGACAATGTAAAGTACAAATATTGTGATACTAGAAAACTTCCATGGGGTAGCAGGAAAAAACCACTTCATTGGGGATTGGCATTTAACTTGAATAATAATGTGTGGTACTGTCCAGAGATAAGCTATAGACACTTTCCAGATAAGTAAAAAGATACGGTCCTTGCTCTGAAAACTTTCACTCTAAAGAGAAACAAAGAGCAAGGTAGAGGTACAATAAAAATTAAAATACCAGGAACAACACAGGTTGCAGAATTGACTTTTTGTATGTGTGTGTGTGTGTTTTGGGGTTTGGTTTTTTTCCCCCTGCTCTGCACCAGAACATTTCTATATTGTATTTTTAAATCTTCTCAATTGTAGTTAGGTTCAAATGGAGGATGGGCACAAGACTGCTTAAACTGTTGCTGCATAAATCATTTAATTGTTTTATGGAGTTTCAAGTCATGTGTATCCCTAAAAATTCTGCAGATACCATGAGCAGTGCCTAGTCTTACAGACGTTTGGAGTTACACCAAGTCCAGACCCAAACAATGACCTCTGTAATTGGGAACCTCTAGTCGGTGAGTCTTGTCTGAGTACAGTTGTGCCAATTTTTAAATAGACTAACACCATAGTGACGTGTTTTAGGTACATAACTGTCACTAGGCTTCGATGTTTCAACTTCTGATGCATAATTGTAAGTGAATGTCTGTTCATTTAAGGCCTAAATCTAGCACTGAATATTTGTTTTGCACAACTTTGAAAATACCTATAAGAAATATTTCCTAGCTATCTTTTTTCCTATCTATATATAAAAAAGGCACCAAAGGGGTGCTTTTAATGGCAGTATTTATTGATAATATGTTGACCTCGAAGCCGGACACCTTTACCAACTGGAATGAGAACCAGAAAGTGAAACTGACCACTCTGTCCATGCCAGACCTGCACCAAGCCTTTGAAGTGAAGAAAGGTCCATAACTTTTTTCACAAATGCTTAGTTTGACGGTTATATTGGTTAAATGCTGTAGTTAAAAAAACAAACAAACAAAACAAAACAAGATAGGTTGTTACTTCTGCTGGTAATCAGTTTGACCTAAACATTCCTCTTCAGTGCATGATGAGATCAGTTACTAGCTTTTTGAAGACTCCCTTTTAGCATTGCTTTTCAGTAGTATATGTATTTTTTTTAAACTTGGACTTTATCTGTGGATTTTAATGCCTGTGGAAATATCTGGGGATCTAAGCATTCCCTTTTAACAAAACAAAAGCTTTGTGACTGATTGTTAGTTTGTATTCTGACATGTTGATTTACAAAGACTGAGGGTTTAGGGGCCTCACTAGCTGAAGATGGGGTATTACTATACCCCACTATACCTTCAATCCTTATTCAGTTGTCTAGGCATTTAATGATCCTTTTAAATGTTAATATTGCTTTTCATTATTTCAAAATTTCAGTTTGCTGGACATTGAGTATGGATTGTAAGAATTACTGTGCATTTATGAGTTCTTATTAAATTACTTGAGTATTACTTTGCTAAGTAAGTGCTTCCAATGTAATGTGTTGATGAGTTATTCTTTATTCCAGAAATATTGGACTGACAGCTGTTACTAAAAACTTAATGCTATCGGGACCTCTCTCTATACCTTTCCTCCCCCAGTTCCTTCTCACATGCACTTTAAATGTTAAGCTGAATTAACAAGTAAGTTATCTTACAATTTCAGTGCATATTTTAAACCAGATTGAACAATATCCATCCCAGATGTCTACTAGAGTATCTTTTTATGCTCAGTCTAACTGAATTTAACTAATAGTTTATTTTTATGTCTGGTTGCTTGCCTTAACATCTTTTAGTTTTTGCGAGTGGCAAAGAGATACTCTTCATTGACAAAACCAGCAGTGCTTTTTTTCTGGCTCTTAACTCCAGTGAACTTATCTAATGTGTTTTTATCACCTTGGTGTAGATGTCTAATAGAGTATCTTTTTATGCTCAGTCTAACAATTTAACTAATAGTTTATTTTTATGTCTGGTTGCTTGCCTTAACATCTTTTAGTTTTTGCGAGTGGCAAAGAGATACTCTTCGTTGACAAAACCAGCAGTGCTTTTTTTCTGGCTCTTAACTCCAGTGAACTTATCTAATGTGTTTTTATCACCTTGGTGTAACAACAGATGCAGTCTCTCTTTGCAAACTTGTAGTTATTAAGCATTGCACATCACCGCTGTTGACAGTTCTAAAGAAAAACATAAGTTGATCTAAATGGGGTGAATGACAAGTAAAGAGTGAGGAGAATGGCGGATGCAAGAGCAGTTTGTTTGATGTTTCTACCCTTGTGAGCTTCTCTGGTTCTGTTGAAAAGACTTGCAAGTTTCTGTCTTCAGTAGTATCAGTGTAGATATTCCTTCTTTCCTCCACCCTTCTCCTTGCACTGCAAAATAACATAAAGCAAGCCAAACAGCCTTCTCTCTTGTTTTCTTCTGTCATAGTGATTTTTTTTTTTTTGATACAAATATCACTACTCCTGTTCACCAGGTAATGAGAGCCTAGCAGGATTTACTTTCTAGCTGAAAACATAGGGTACAGTGCTTAGAAAAAGGAGGGACATAGACAATGTTTTCCATTAATGTTTTATCTGACTGTTACATTTTCAGTACCTGATTTGATATGGGTCTCTGACTTGAAATAAGCGAGATGAAACTGTGTATGACCAACTTACTACAAGGTGGCAATACTGCAATTTCCGTCTTGCTTGTTAGATAGGTGATGTCAGAAACCATTTTTTTACAAAGCTGCTAGAACAGCTTATGTGGCAGTTCTACTTTTTTTCCCTGTTTATGCTTCTACAGGGAAAAAAACTAGTACCTGATCTTACACCAAATCAAATATCTTATTTAGTAACTATTGTTCTTCAGATGCTTCCCAGAATAAAATTGGTGTTTTCACATGTGAGATGGGTCAGGAGGCAATCTTCAGGAAGACTACCTGTTTGAACATGAATTTGAGTCCCTGGATGGTAGACCGTAACAAGCCTTGGCAATAGTTGTATTCCTAAATTGGTATTTTACCATATTCGGACTGCAAGTGAGCGAGCAGTGCTCTGTAGCACATTGCTGTTGTACTTTGTTCCACTCACGTGTACTCTGACGCTTGGATGGGATTCAGCCTATAGAAATCTAATGACTGGTCTTGCCTTCCTTTTGTTTGCTTGTTTGTTTTTTTTGTTGAGGGGTTGGGAGTTTTTCTTGGAGTTTTTTAAGAGGCTTCGTGTAGGTTGAAATAAAATAATTATGCTCCTTTGTCTTTTGAAGGCTGCTGCTTTAAGCCATGAATAGAGGTACTTGTACAGGAGCACGACTTATAATTGATTTGAAATGGATCAACAGCCAGAATGCAACAATGACTTTTGGGGTATCTTTCAACTAAACAGTCTTATCAGCAATGCATGATATTAATAACAAAGTGCAGTTCAGTTATGGGAACTGAATGTGAAATTCAAAGGTCGTGCTCTGCAGTGCAGGAGAGGGGAAGGGCGTTGTGGTTTGTGTGCTGGATGGAGCTTGTGTTGGCTTCTCTTTGCAGTGGTCCTCAAGTCTGATGCTGGGTCATTTAACCTATTGCTTGCCTGACTTCTCTAGCAGTAGAGGTGAGCTCATGTGATGATTATTGCAAAATCAAGTTCATCATTGGCTTTAGGACAAAGGGATTGTAAAATGTATATGGAGGGGTGTCTGAGTCTCTGGTGCCTTTTTCAGCTGTGCCTCCTCTTCCCATTGCGTGTCGGCCGTAAGAGGTGGATGGTTGGAATCTGAGTTTGACTGAGGCGTTCTCAGCTAGAACTCAAATATAATTCAATTATGTACCTGTCTTGGTTCCCCTGAGTAGCTGTATTACAGGGCAGTTATGTCTTGTCAATAAAGTAGTTGGGACAGGTGCTGAGAAAGTAGCCAACAATTACTTATATTTTGTTTTTTAGCTTTCAGTAAGTTAGAGAAACAGATCTAATTTTGTTGGCAAGTGAGGCATTGATTTCAGTAATAGCTGCTTGTGTAGTTAACTGATTTTGTCTAGAATTGGCCATTGTATTTGCACTGTTAATGATACCTCGTTACCTGTGCTACTTTCAGTTTGGTTAGAGAGTAGAGAAAGTGCTGATGAGGTAAAGAAAGTATGGGTCTGTCCAATAACATAGGTGGGGTGAAATGCGTATCTTCTTCCATTGTTGTGCCTAGTGATAGAGCTAAGCATTTTAACAGGTCTCTTACATCTTGTTAGAGCATGAAAGTAGCTGATTGAGAAAGTTCCTAGAAGCCCCTGGTGAAAACTTAAAATGCTTTAGAAACAGGGAACACATGGGAAAACAAAAATCTCGATGAGAAGGTATGAGAGCAAGCATGATTACTTTAAGTTGTGAGAAGCAGAAATTCAGAAAAGAGCATTAGATAAACATAGGAAATGTTTATCTAATTCACGATAATATTTGTGTACTTGTTTTATACCTGGAATCCTACTCTTAAATATCACAGCTTTGAGACAGGGTGTTAGGGGGAGCTCTGGCTTAAAGTTGAGGCTGATGCATTCTTTAAATGCATCTTTAATCTTGGGGTGCAGATACTGCTTTAAAATAGTTCTTTCACTAGTATAGTTGTAATAATGATAGATGTATAGTTTTAATAATGAAAGAACCATGTAGCATAGGTTAAGATGGCTCTTCCTCACTGCAGTCATGAGCCGTACGAGAGTGCTACTTATCAAAAAGCACTTTCAAATTCTGAGAATATAATCCAGTCTATTATAATAGCTCCTTAAGAAAATGCTAGAATATACTGTGCTTTCATTTCTGACTTCAAAGGTATAGGTGGCTTATTTGAGAGTTTTCTTGGGATGTTTTTGGGCTACAAATCCTGCACTGGAAGCAAGAATACGGAACTTTCTTGTTACTTGAAGAAAGCTTTTGTATCTGTGAGATCATGAATTGCTAATTTTTTTTTTCCCCCTGCTTTTTAACAGGAACAGGAAGGTGGTCGATTACTCCCAGTTTCAGGAATCAGATGATGCTGGTAATGACTTTTTTTTTAACAATGTAATATTCTTGGACTAGAGCAGTTCATTTATTGCTTTGCATGTTAATTGTTTTGCTTCTAGTCACATCTTTAACTTAAATTCTAAGGAGTTTCTGCTCTTCACAGTCTCTGAACTGCTAATTATTTGAAAATATAATGATTCTCATATGTTTTGTATTAAACAAACAATGGTGATAGAAATCTTATTATTTAATGCTTGTATTGTTGTAGTGCCTTGAGGCTGTTGGCAGCAACTTTCTTCTTCCTTGGTCTATGTTATGTTCTGTGGCAGAATCTCCCTGATGCCACTTTTTTCTACAGTAAAATATGTTTTCAATTTATTTTAGTGGACTCTAGTTAATCCCATAATGTCAGGGATTTTTGAGAATTGTATCTAAAAAAGAAATCTTTGTATGTATGTTCTGCGTGAATTAACGAAATATTTCTGGAAGCCATATGGAATATGTTTTGTGTTCTTAGAAAATAGACATACTGCTACTGTTTGCTAAGTGAGGTTGCACTGATAATTAATGGAAACAAATATGCATAGTTCTTAATTGCAGTCCTGTTACTCATCTTGTATAAGGTATTGTGTAATAGTTGTAAAAAATTACACTGTAAACTACTCATATAATGACATACTTTTTCCCATCATAGGACAGTAAATAAAGTGTTTGCCATTAAAAGCTTGTAGAAATATGTATGGATGTTAACTTTTAGTAGGTTTACATCGTAATTCTGTTTCTGACTAGCTGTAAAATTAAGATACTGTGTTCTCTTGTGAGGCTTTTTGTGTGTTTCCTAATACTCCTCTGTCAGACTTGATTGTACGTGGCATTTTTATTGCGCTGTTTGCAGAAGAAAGGGTAAATCACTAGTTTGAGACAGGACTTTGCTTCTATAAAGTTTTGTTTGAAGCTTTGTGATTTTTTTTTTTTTTTGAAGGGCATCTTATTGATGTGCATGAAATGGTCAGTTTAAGTTATAGCTGAGGAAGTCAGTTTGCTGGGAACTAGGAGTTTGATTCAAAACCATTTTGTACTGTCCCGTCCAGATGAAGATTATGGAAGAGATTCAGGTCCCCCATCCAAGAAAATCCGTTCGTCTCCCCGGGAGGCTAAAAATAAGAGGCGATCTGGGAAGAATTCTCAGGAGGACAGGTAAAAGAAGCATTTCATCTGTTACGAACATGTCTCCAAACCTTGTCCTGTATGTGGGGAGCAATATCTTCTAAGAGGAATCATTTTAAGTGGAATTCAAGCTCTGCAGTGTAAGATGCAGAGCTCTCAGTCACAGAACTTTCATAACCAGCTTGGACATTGAGGTGGTTCTTTCTTATTCAAGTAGACAGAGAAATCATGTGTAAAGTGCTTGTCACTAGTAATTAGTTACTAAAATAGCTTTCCAGACATAGACAGTTGGAGTGGGAAGGAATATGATCCAAGTTACAAAAATTGGCAACTAGTGCAATTATCCAGGTAAGTTAGTGGCAGGATGCATTTCATTTTCCATGTTTTTTGGTATGCTCAGAGCATTCCTGTGGTTAAACATTAAATGGGTCGGTACAGTGGCAGTTAGGAGTAAGGGCCATTTGTTAGTTTTGTGGTTCTTTGTTTCCTATTTCCTGTTTTGTCTAATTCAGAAACAAAGAAGCTTGTTTTGATAACTTGAGTTGCTCCAGCAGTGTGAAAGGACTCAGTTCTAAGTGATGCCCTACTGAATAGTGAAAGTCTGTCCTGTAGAGTGAAGGTATCTTCCTTTTTACAACAGATGTGGTCAGCAAATGATTGCCATAAGACCTATTAAGTCAATTGACAGCTTTCATGACAGACATCAACTTCAGGGATGGAGGTTCTGCTAGCTGGTTCTTATTCTATAAGCCCAAGGTGTCATTTTATTCTGTTGCACCATTTGCTGGAGTATAGGTAACTTAAGAGGCTTCCCCATCGTGCTCCTGTTCTATAAGGTGAAAGCTGAATGTAGGCACGGGAGTATTTGCATGGTCCACCTGCTATTGTGAACTGAGAGGGAGAGACTATTTTCACCCTGGCAAATGCCTGTAACACCTGAAATCAAAGATTTAATGGGTATGACATGTAAGTAAATTGGGCTAGGCAGCTCCCAAAGCAACTAAATAGTTGACCTTGATGTCCTATTAGCTTTGGGGATTTTTAAGTATGTAAGAACATTCCTATGCGTATCACAAACATTGCAGAGGGCTTGCATGTAAAACAAACTCATGTATTTAAGTGATTGAAATCCACAGTTGTGTGTATAAGACTGAAAACATACAGGCCTGAGGGGCTGTAATGTGACAAGTTATCTAAACTATTAGAGTTCTTGAAAGATGTTGTGTGTTGGCTCCAACTGCCAAATTTGAAAGTAGCAAAGGTTTGATCTATTGTATTCCTTGACCTTGGCAAACTCCTCACTTCAGCCGTTCCTGAAGCATATGTTGTACGTCAGTGGCCCTCAACAGAGTATTCACCATTCCTGTTTAAAACACTTGTTTTCTCTCTGATTGGTGTGCATGTTCTTACATGCCGGAAGGAAAACCCTCTCCGGACAGTGGGAATGACTAATGATGGGGCTTTGGATAAGAACAGAACATTAGTACCTGCTGGATAGGGATACCCTCTGATGAGGATTGAAACCACTAGAATGGAGTGGTGAAACTCCATCAGAGATCAGATCGTTTGGGAGCTTGTGGACCAAATATATGCTAGTTAACTGCTATACAGCAATGCAAACAGAATGAAGGATTCCAAAGAAAACAATGACATAAAGACAAGTGATGACTATAAATCTGTTCAGAATAAAACTTTATTCCATTTATAGACTCAGCCATGCATTAGCATATAAAACTTCAAAATTCTAACTGTAAAATGGAAGACATCTGGATTATTGGTAGGTTTCAGAGTGAAGTACATGATTCATCTCAACCTTACTGTTTCCTGGTTGGTTCACTTGACTCCGTGTAACTTTGTATGTGATTCAGAGTTCGAACATTATCTTTCCAACCGTGATAACTACATATGTAACTGAGTAATCCTGAAGTATAACGTGGTAGTGTCAAGGAAAAGTGATATTCCCAGTCTAGAGATCACTTTGCTCTCTGAAAATTGATATTTTCCATACAGCAGTGACTGAAATCAGAGTTAAAACAGCAGTCAAATCCTGTCTTTTTCTCACTTTCAGTGAGGATTCAGAAGACAAAGATGTGAAGACTAAGAAAGAGGATTCACACTCGGCAGGTAACTAACTACATTGTACTGATAGTGTATTTTCAAAATAAAGACCAGTTTGAAAGAGTTACAGGAGTAGGATTTGACATAGGAAAGAAACTGTTCTGACTAGAACCCAGCATCTTAAGCTGGATGCTGCCTCTGCTGCTGTTACTTCCGCCCCTGGTTTGGGATAACATTTTTTCGTGTAATATGATGCTGCTATAAAGTTTGTCTTCACAGGTAGATAGATGTATGTTATGTTCTTCCCTGTAGTTCTCTTCCATACTTCAGAATGATACAAGGAACTTCATATTCGTACCTTTTCCTTCCAGATGAAGATTTTGGCAGTGAAGATGATGACTTAGGAGCAGATGATGGCAAAGCTGACAGTGACTATGAGAGCTCTCAAAAAAGCAAAAAAGGAAAAAAGGCTAAACCAGAAAAGAATAAGAGAGCAGCCTCCAAATCCAGGAAAAGGCCTGCAGGTAAAAAAAAAAAAAGGTTGCTGGTCTTTGCAGTGAAAGATACTGCACAGGATCATTGTTGGATGACTACAGAAACATGCTTATTAGGTTGAATGTGACCGTGTTCTCCTCGCAGCTCAGTTATTCAGCGAGTGTCCTGATTAACTTTCTCATGAATGGCTTGACCTTTGTCTTGCCTGCATGCTACCTCAAGAGAGTTAGGTAGTTTGTGTTCTGTATCTTCATTATAACTTTGTGACTTTTGCTGCAGAGGACAGTGAGGACGAGAAAGAAGACCACAAAAATGTGCGTCAGCAACGACAGGCAGCATCCAAAGCAGCTTCTAAACAACGAGAGATGCTTATGGATGATGTGGGTAGTGAGGAGGAAGAACAAGAGGATGATGAGGCACAGTTCCAGGAGAGTGAGTAAATGGGATTGTAAAAAGTTAAAATCAATGTGACGTGGGTATAGTACCAAACATAAGTTTATGGGTCTGGCCAGATAGCAAAAAGAAGTTTTGCTTTTTGACTGTGACAGTGAAGACATAGGTTGTCCTCTCAGTAGCGTATTTGATACTGCATATCTGTCCAACAGACCAAGCTTATATTTTTCACATCTAGAATTTTTGTTCGATGTTTGCGGCAAAGATGTATGTCTTTATAAGCAGCCCTAAAAGATTATTGTAAAGTTCTTAATGCATTTTGCTCCTTCTTGCTATCCCATTGTTTTGAGGCATTGATACTACTTTCAGGTGATGTAAAAGTGCTTCATCCTTGATTGATCAAAGTAGGACGGTTTGTTTCGTAAGAAGAGATGGGTTCAGCTGGCAATGAACTGGAGTAAGTTCCTGAAATTCTGAGTGCAAACATGATTTTGGAGTGGAGAATGGAGTATGAGTACCATTGAAAAGATCATTTAACTTCTCTCTGTCAAGAGGTTATCTTTATTTTGACATGGGTTACTTATTAAGGAGATGGAGCGTATTTTGAGGACCGCAAAACACTTGCCCGTTTCATCATACTAGTGCTTTATCCCTACTAGTGTAAAATCTTCCGCTGTGTCAAGTTTCTGTAACGCAGAAGATAGGTGGAAGCTCATAAGGTCACAGAGTCCTAGTTTCCTGTCTCCACAGTTTAACTGGCAGATCTTCCAATTGTATCTTCTGCTCCCTTTCCTTTTTCCCAAAAACTTAAATTTCTTTGTGCTTTCAGCAGATTCAGGTAGTGATGAAGACTTCCTCATGGAAGATGATGATGATAGTGACTATGGCAGTTCAAAAAAGAAAAATAAAAAGGTCTCCAAGAAATCCAAGCCAGAGAGGAAAGAAAAGAAAATGCCGAAGCCCAGGCTAAAGGCTACAGGTGAGTCTATGCAAAGAAAGTTATGCAGTTTGCTTTAGAGGCTAGTATTTTCTTTTTCTACTATAGAAGACTCAGTGGAAACCTTGGGGTCGGTAGGCATTCTCGTATAATCTTAAGGACTTACTCATGTAACTTGCCATGATTTAAAGCAGCTATGAAATAATAAGGTGGCTTTAATTCTTACTTAATTAAGAGATTGAGTTAATATCTGTGTCTCGTTGGCAAAAACAGCGTAGATTGCAAAATCTTCCCTATTGAGATGCTGCAGTCTGACTTTCTGTGTAACATAGCCAAATAATACAATTTGTGGCTTTGTTTGGGACTCATGGACTTTGTGATGTTTTCAGGGTGGAGGAAGGTGGAGAAATCTGAAGCAAAGGAAAATTTGATACATTTCTGCAGGAAGTCTAAAATCATAATAGCAACGTATGTACTGGTTTGACAAGAGGCTAGCTATATTAGTTTATGATGTCATATCCAGTAATTAGTCAGGACTTGCAATTAAATAGTTTTAAAATCTTGTTAGCTAACTTTTCAGTTCAGCTTTACTAATACAGAGTGCAAAAAACACCATGTGTGTGGTATGGTCAAAGGAACATTAAACCTGCTACCGAAGTGTCTTGTAAATCCTGTTTGTATTAAGCCATACAACTTTTTTTGTCGTAACCTTTATAAGCTTTTTCTTTTTTCAGTGACCCCCAGTCCAGTGAAGGGCAAAGGGAAGGCAGGCCGCCCCACAGCTTCCAAGGCAACAAAAGAAAAGACCCCATCCCCCAAAGAAGAGGATGAAGAACCTGAAAGTCCCCCAGAAAAGAAAAAATCAGCCAGCCCTCCACCAGAGAAGTCAGGGGATGAGGGATCTGAAGATGAAGCACCCTCTGGTGAAGATTAAATGGCAGTTGAGGAAATCTTTGTTTAAAAAAAAAAAAGAAAAAAAAGAAAAAGGAAAAGAAAACATACTTAGGGGTAGAACACGGTTTTGGCTGTGGCTTGACTCATGGGCTTTGAATGCTGTCTTTACTTTCAGCTGTTTAATACAGTGTATCCTTTTTTAATAAGAGGAAACCCTTACACAGTAATATTTTGAAGTCAATGTTCTCTGTTGGCCATTCCGTTCTCCCTCCCCCACCAAATCTGAAAGCCATTTGAGACAAATTAACAGACCATTTAAATATATATTTTTTTCAAGGGATACTGCAGTTGTGAAGCAATAAGGTTTGAGACTGATACGTGGAAACCATACTTACAAATCGTTAAGTAGAATAGATTTCCCAGTGCTGGTAAGAGTTCTTTAAAACTATTATTCTGTATTTGAATATGTGGAAAAAATGAACCTATGCTTTAACAGACTTTTGTTAATACAAGTTCACTCTCAGAAAAAATGTAGTTGATGTGAATTCCAATTGAGGAAGAGGAAACATGGGGAGGAAACCTGTGTTTCTTGGATTCAGGCACGTTTTTTGTGGAAAGCAATCAAGAGACTTGTAGATGATCCACTGTCTTTTATTTAGAAAAGACCCTCCAATTAGATTGCGAGATCTTTTGTCTTTGCTGGATAGAATACTATTCTGCTTTAGGCAAATTGCAGTTCATTCTATACAAATTCAGATATACAACCTACAAGCTTCTCACATTCATTAACTCTAGTTTATTTCTTCCAAGGTTGGCTATAGATGGGCAGAATAGGGAAGAGAAACTGAAAACAATTTTTAAAACTCTGGTTTCCATTTGGTATTGTGGAAAATGTCTTTAAAGTTTTTCCAAGGAAAAAAATTAATGGGTAGTGTAAAACTAAATTCTTTAGCTTTTGGGGCGAGGGATGTCCTTTTATAAATGTGAAGCAAAGGATTCCTGTAATGCTCTGGTCAGTCTCGGATCCCATGAGTCACGCTTAAGTGTTTCTTCTCTCCCTCCATCTGTCCTCAGAAAGGCTATATAGTCATACCTCTCAGCCTCTCCAGCTACAGTGTTGGACAGCAGACTTTCATCAATAGTGAACGTCACCCCGATACCACTTCCATTTCTTCATCCTTCCATCCTACAGTGCGGGAGGCTTTGCTCTCACATCGACATGTCTGCTTCTAACTGTTGGTCATCATTCTGCTCCCTAAGCCTAACAAGTGCTGAACAGGGAACAGTATTAAAGGATGAAGCTGGAGGGAAGTGGAGTTTGGAAGCAGTGTAGCAGGGCTATCGTTTTATAATAAAAGCAGGATGTCCCTCTAAATGCAAGACACTTGAGATGTTTGTGGTGGCATTTTAATGTGTTTTTATCAAAGCAGCCATATCCTTTTTTAAATTTAATTAAAATACGCAAGCTTTGGTTTTCAAACCCTAATACAGAGGTTGCTGCCATGTTTGTTGGTGGAAATATTGAAAACTGGACCTGCCATTTTTCTTTCTTTTTTTTTCTTAAACCCTTTGTGCTTTCTGTATGTTGCTTACAGTTATCTTATAGCTGACAAGCTTTGCATCTTTTTTTGTCACAGAACTACACGTTTTGTAACCAGCCTCTTGAAGGTAACATAAGGCAGCTAATTAGTTGGATTTCTGGTGCACATGCTACCAGATTTTTAATCCTGTTTGGATTTTAGAGAGCTTTTAGATGTGATACACTAATATGACCAGGAAGGACACTTGGCTGAATGGCATAGGGAGCCTGAAGATGCTGAGCACAGTGTGGAGCCTAAAATGTGGAACGGAATATTAAATAACAGCCGAGTGATTGTCTTGTGTGATTCATAGCCATGGATTTTATTGAGGCTGGTAAATTACTTTACCTTGGCTTATAAAAATTTAAGTTCTCTAACATTCTTTACTATAATGAAACTACTGTTGCCGTTACAATAAAGATGATCGGTGTTTCCATTGTAAATCTTTTTTTTTTTTTTTTTTTTTAAGTGGTTGAATTTTGCAGAACAGCTTAAGGCTGGAGTGAAGTTATCAGTCTTGAAAAAGAAGTGAATGTAATCCCCTGTCCTCTCCCACACCTCTTCCCACCTTCCAGATCTCTGGGAGAGCAGTCTCTCTTGCATTCCCTCCACTCCTAGTCCAGTGCTTCTTGGGTAATATGGGAAAATAAATGGCCAAGTTTTAAAAAAACATCTGGATTAAATTTGGGGGTAGGATACACTTTTGTGAATGTCTGGTCCACATAGTTATTCCCCTTCAGTCCAGACTATGTTTCAAGCTATTCTAGTCTTTTGGGTTCTTAGGGTTTTTTTGGTATTAAAATGTACAAGGATTACTTAAATGTAGAATACCTCTAGGTGATCCGGTCAAACAGCTGTTTCTTTACCCGATAGACCAGATTTTTTCTGAAGAGTGTATTTTCTAAGTTCCACTTAAAATATTTTTTGGTTTGTTTTTTTTTTCCTAACACAGTTAACTAAAGTTAAGGCTGTGAAAAATACGTTTCCGTTGTTCTCAATTCAGGTTTTGGACTGGATTATTTCATGCCTGGCAATTTTGGCCCTTTCTCTTAAAAAAAACTGTTCTGCTTTCTCATATGTTCATCTCTAATGGCTGTTACAGGCTGCACGATGCTTATCTTTGAGTTTGTCACAACCCAAACACTATGTAAATCCTGTACTACTACTGGGATTTTGTAACTTTTTCTATATCTTACTGTTTTGCTGATTTCTGCAAACACTAAGCCCTAACGGTCTCTTGGTTACTCTGTTAGAAATGCAGCAGTTTACATTTTTACAGATGGAAGAAAATTGTGAAGGTTAATAAATTTATTTTTTTTTTTAGCACACAACATTTTTCAGTAGCTGCAGACTTAACATTTTTAAATGTCCTTTTTAATTAATTTGTATTAAGCTTTCTGATTTCTTGAAGGAAAGCTGTAAAAATGCCTTTCTTTAGGAGCATGAATAGTTCTTCACGGAGCAGAAAGTTTCATTCACAGAAGAAGGCTTTGAAAAGATTGTCTTCTGTTACACAGCTGTAGTTTTGGAGCCTTTGCAGAGAGGTAAATGGATTTATTCCAAAGTTCAGTTAATCTAGTGCCCTGCCCTGGTTTTACTCTTAAAATGGTAGTTCATAACTAACTTCCATTATATATTCTTTTGTACATTCTGTTTCTGAATCCAGACCACCACATTCAGTTTCGCAGTTATATGCCAATAGTACTGCCTTTAACTGGCTACAAGGCTTGATCAGTAAAAATTTGCAATTTCAGTTGCAATTTCATACTAAAGATTATTTGCTTCAGTTTCTGTTTGATCAGCATGAGAATGCCAAACATGTCAAGCTAAATGGGTTTCAGAATGGATTGTGGGTGAGAGCAAGACATAGAAATGGGGCAGCCAAGAAGCTTTTAATTTTGTTGTTTTTACTTCATCAAAGCAGAAGAGTGGGGAGAGAAGCGGCACACCTTGGGTGACTTCTGCTAGGGAACCTCACTGATGCCAGGTCATGGTTCTGAGCATGTTCAGCTCCTGTGCCACCACACAGCTGCATCCGCAGGTGATGGACTACCAGGGTAGTGGCAGAAGATGTGCTTGAATTCCTTTTTTCTTTTTTCTTTTTTTTTTTTTTCTTCCCCTCCGCTGGTGATGGTCACAAAGGTACAATAGACACTGAGGCACCCAGGTTAAGGAGGGAGGGAAGTAAACTGTAACATGCTGGAAGCTTTTGAGCTGTAGAAACTGGTGCTTTGCTTTATGTAATTTGTTTGTGAAGTGTTTATTTTTATAACAGATCATATTGTTGAACACATGGTTCTTAAAAACTACAAACTGATCCATGAGTTTAATATTTGAGAAGTGGATGTTCATCTGTTGGGGGAGGCAGGATATGAAAATGTAAGCAGATGGATATTTAAAGGGACACTGTCACAAAATAGTTGCTGGCATATAGGATATGTTAGTTTGGGGGACTCGCATCTCTATGTGGAAATTATATATTCTATATGTATATGATCAAATAGAAAATTTTCCCTGAACTTTGAATATTTTCCTACAGTTTTGGGAGGTTTAAATACAAGTTCTGCTAATGAAACTAGGAAGCAAAACTAACTATTATGTTCTTACTGTCCAAGATGACTTTTTTTTTTTAAAGTACTATGAGGAATATCAGAGTCTGAAAGATGACAGTGTCCTTTCGAGACCTCCCCAGATAAAGCGTATCCTCGTTCTAGACTTCCCACTTCAGTAGATGACTGGCATTTGAATGTCTTTTCATTGAACTCTTTATATTAAAAACAAAACACAGATATTTCTAAGTCTAGTCAAGTTCTCACGATGTGCTGACTCTGTGTATCAACCACTATTGGAGATGACTCTCTAGACTGCCTGCCCCCTTCAGCCGCGGTGAATCGAGTGGGTCCATCGGTCTGAGCATGCTCAGTGTGACTGCAAAACACCATTGTGCATATGCTTTGTATATTGGGGCAAGGGTTTTTTATATATATATTTTGGGAGGGGTAGTGGGTGGGATGGAGAAATACTCAATCAGCTTAAGCCAGAATAATGTGTGTAAAAGCCCCTGAAGTATTTTGTGTGTGAGTGCGCGGGTGTGAGTGCGCGCATGGGAGTGTCTGACATCTTTATTCCCTTTGTGTTCTGAAGATTTGTGAGTTTTACTTTTTTTTTCCCCGCAGAAGCAATTGTTACAAAAAAATTGTAAATAAGAGCTACATAATTTTTGTTTAACCATGAACATGATGTCACAGCAAACCCTGAATAATCACTTTGAAGGTAGAGGAGGAGACACCAGGTAGGGCCTTGGGCCTTTGGCTATCAGCAAGGCATCATTATATGGTATGCAATGAATATTTGTCTTGAGTATTTGCAATCCCCTGTTGAGCTTTTCTAAAAATCAGGCTCTTTGCAGTTCCCCTCCCCAACCCTTTTAATTTTTTTAATCTGAAGAGCAGACAGAAAAAGGGGCAGCTGCAAACAGTGCTGCTGGCCCATGGTCGGTGTGTGTGTGCAGTCATGGCTGTCATCACTGGGCCCGATAGGGTTGGCGACTCTTGCAATACCTTGACAATACTGAGATCTACCGCATGGTACTAGGAGTTAAGTCTGAATGTAACATTAATGCTTTATTTAAAATAAAAACAACACTTTTTTTTTTCCCCCAAGGGGTTGAAGTGAACATGACTGTTGACCATGTTCGTGAATTTATAGATGCAACATTCATTGGTAGAATTGTGTGATGGTCTTTTGTGCTACTTAATTTTACATATTCCAGTCTCTGTATGTACCTGCAAAGAAAGAAAAAAAAATAACAAAACCCTGCTTTGCTTTTATTGAAGGGTTCCCAGGACTGCATACCTGCTCCTGAGCTCTGTTTTAAGTATGTGTATCCTTCGCTTG